CCAAACACATCACAAGTGGTAAAGAAATGACGACATTAGTCCAGAATGAAGGTTTTAGACTGGACTTCCCAAAAGTCTTCACCTGAATGCCATCAAGAGCCTGTAGACTGTAGATTGAAGTCAAAGATACAGCAGGAAGCTTGTGGACGGCGAGAGTGCCTAAATGCAAATGTTCAACCAAATAATAGAGTTTCTTTAAGTGTAGTTTTGACTCAGCAGATTTTGTCAAATTTCCAGAAGACCTCGAATAAATCTGTGAAAGAATCAAAACACAGGATTGGTTTTAAGACGCATGTGTTTCAATGAGTCCATCACAGAAAGTTCAGAAGCTCAAGACTGCCACGATGTCCGTGTTCTGTCCAAGTGTTTTGAAAGTTCTTTTCACACTCACAGTACCAGAACTTTGCCAAATATTTTTACCTCATTAATACATTTCTCAAGCTTCTCTGTGGTCAAAAGCACCAAAGCGTTTGCTGAAGTGACCCGACCGACTTCAGGTGCAGGTTTGTGGGTGAACTCCTTCTTTCCCTTCGCTGCAGGCGTGACTCCACCAGAGACGAACCCCAGAGAGAATCTCATCGTGGTTCATCTCAGAGACGGCTCAACGCTCAACCTGTGTGCCAACAGCGAGGACGAATCCCTGTAGGTATCCTCACCTGTCTGCTCTTTCTTCTCTTACATCCGTCCATCGGTGCCTCACTCCTGCCTCGTTTCCTCCTCAGAGCCTGGAAGCTGACTCTGCTGGACACCAGGAGGAACCCGGTGAGTCCTCGGCGTTCTCCGTCAGAGCCCATCGCTCAGCCAGCGGGTTCCATCCCTGACATAAAAGCTGTGTTTGTTTTTTAACTGTAGGTGTTCACGTATGATCCATATGATGACTCCTACCAGGCTGTTCCTCTCAACAACTACCACACCGTCTACATCACGCCCGGAGCAGGACCAGGTACGCTACCGTACAGAACCTTCATGTGCGAAACAAGGTGCTGAAAGTGGACCACAGACGGGTCCTTCCAGCTCAACCCAGAACATTTCTACCATCTCTGGTTCAAGCATAAAATGTTGATATTTATAAAGATATCTGAGAAATTTTAGCTCAAATATCACCAAGACAACATTTGAGTTCCCTCCTGACCCACTTTCAGCAGTTGTTTGAATAACAACATCTCAGGAACTACTGAAGTCCAAAGTGTTGACTGCTCTTTGTCATCATGCCATTGATCCACAATCTGCAACATCAGACGAGCAGATCAAACGGTCTCTGATTACAGGAGTCATGAAAAGTCACGTCTTTGGGTGAAACATTGATAATACAGAAGTTAAGTAGTGAAGAAACCAAATGTAGCTGCACCATAATACCAAACAGAACACACAGAATACTTCATAAAGCCAAATATTTGATTACAAAATATGACAGTCTAAGTTTTTTACCTTTTTTATTTGTCCAGTGTTGCAGTGGTTTGGGCGTTTTGAGCTGCTTCCTGTATCCTCATCATTTCCTTTTTACTACTTTTGGGCCGTAAAGGATGTAAATAGATAAATAACTAAATGAATGAATGAATGAATGAATGAATGAATGAATGAATGAATAAATAAATAACTAAATGAAGGCAGCAGGCTACGCGCCCAGCAGAACCCACTGTGACTCAGCATTTGTGGAGAGGAAAAGCAGGCTTTCACCACTGCTGTATTAAAACATCACTTTGGTGCAGCCGTGTGTGTGTTTATCCTCAGAAACTCAAACACTGAGTCCGGCTCGTTTTAGGAAGCGTCTGCAAACAGCAAACAAGCTGCAACACAGCAGCTGCCTTCCTCGCTGCCATTAGATCCGTTCAACAAACAGCGTGGGCCGTGACCAGCAACCTGTGTGCACCAGCACGTTATTCAAACAGACGCAGCAGCAGCAGCCAGTCGGCCTGTGAGCAAACACAAATCCATCCGCCGTCCCGTCCTCTGTCATCCGCTCGATGTGGATAATCTGCTGGAAAGCGAGGTTTTCCTGGTTTTTCACGTTACAGTGTCAGAGGTGTGTCTTCCCACGTGGTTTACCTGCACACACCTGCTCGATTTGTGGCACTGAGCGCTCAGGACGGGCGGTGCTTTAAGTCAGTACAGTACTGCTGCTTTTATTACCCACACTGTAAAAACCGTTTATATTCCAGCAGCTGGAACCTCACAAGAATAATGTAATTTTTTTATGATAAAAATCTGTTTTTATCGTATTAATTTAAAAGTAGATCTGCATTTATTTTTAGTCTAATGAGGGATATTTAGCTTCATGTCTCAATAACAATGATAGATAATAATTTATATAATGAGATAGATGTCTAGATAGCCAGATAAAACTGTATTCTGACAGATTACACGTGCTTATAGATGAAAAAAAATGTTGTGAAAATGTCTTTAATTATAGAATATATCTTTGATTAAACAAAGCTAAAGTTACAAGAGCTACTTTTATGGCATTTGTCACTAATTTTAGAAATATATTTACACTATTAAAACTAAATTAAACAGTTTAATCTATTAAATGATGATACAATTTTCTTTTTATGTCAAAATGTCAAATTTTCTTTTTAAATCGACATTTTATGCTCATTCATAGCAACAGGTTTCTATTGTGGTGTATGTTAAATATGTAAACAAACAGTATTTTTTCATAATTTGTTGATATTTTAGTTTCAAAAATGCAGAAAAAAACTGACAATAAACAAAACTAACACTAATAACAGTAATAGGTATAAATAATTATCATATTTTGTAATTGTTTTATATTTGTCCACAAAAAGGCTTCACCTGCTAATATCTGAATTCTCTGAGAATATATATTTTCAAATAAAACTAGACAAAGACAGACAGAAAAAGATCCAAAAACGCTTCTGGCTAAATAAAAAAATACAAATAAAACGACTATTTAATGATAAAATTCTAAAAGCTTCTACAAATGCTTTTACATGTTAAAATAAAGCTGAAAACAGCTCATGTGTGGCAGCATAATGTGGTCCAAGAGTGAAGAAAGCGCTGAAATCTCCCCGTTTTAGCACAAATGAAATAAAGGTTTCACAAATTTAAAAACACTTTTTTTATTATACAGTATTAAAGATTCCCCTGAAGGGTCCTCCACAATTTTACAGATTTAAAATGTGGGAAAAAATCAAGAATTGGCCATTCAGCGCTGTTAGTTTTTCTGTTTTTCTGTTATTGCTGAATCAGAAGGTAACTTTTAACGCTGCTCAGTCGATGCAGGATCATTTCAAACAGGTGGTAAATGCACCCTGTGACCACTAGATGGCTCTGCAGAGTGTAAAACTATAATAACAATAATAGAAAGTGTGTAAAGTTTATTTATTTACAGCAGCAGCAGCAGTCATGAGGAGAAAAAAAAGAGCCTGGAATCAGTTTGTTCGTTTAGTTTTGGGTCGACTGTAAACCTTCAGTCTGATGTTGTAGATGTTGTAAAAGTGTTAAAGGTGTTTCTGATTGTATGAACATCATGTAAACATATAAGCTGAACGGGTTTAAGGCGCGTCTAAACCTGGCTGATGATGTAAACACGTGTCTGAAACCATCTTTTCCCACAACTTCCTGTGAGCAGCAGGAAGCGGTGCCGAGCCTCGTCTGAGCCGATACGCTGCATCAAAATGTTTATGCAGATCCGGTCCAGTGCAAGAGAAATGTTGTGTTATGGATCCGCGCCGAGGCCCGTTTAATCCTCTGAAGGTCCTGGAGGAAAGTTGAGTTGTGCGACCGGATCGATGCCCTGCTTCCCTGCGAGCGCCGCTCATTGTCTCCGTGCTCTTTCGGCTACAGTGCACACGGCAGATCACACGGGGCAGCTTCATTATATTTCGCCCAGAACCCCAGAAGCTAATCAATACCCTCGGTGCGGGAATATTAAATAGCCCCAGGACTGCTGTGTGCTAATTAGTTTGAGGTCACTTTATTAAACGCAAATAGAATTTGACACAAGTTGCCACTTTAAGGAAAAAAAAGAAAAAAGAGCTGAAAATGCAGGAGGGAACTTCTCCCAGTTTATAGTCAGCGCACAGCCCAGCAAGTCCGATCGATCTCCGAGGTTTAGACCGGTTCTGGCAGCTTCCCTCTCTCGCTAATTTACTTCTGGCAGCCAAACTTTAACTGGGTCTCTTCTTTTCAAGGAACCCACCAGGTGGTCGTTCAAAGGGACCCGTTCGATGGGATCGCGGAGAATCTGGCGCTGGGAATCCTGGCGGGCATGGCGGCAGGAGCAGCCATGAGATCCTTCCTCTGGATGCCGTTCTTCCTCTGCTGAGACGTCGTCAAAGCAACCGGGCTCCACGTAGACCGTCTGTCCCCGTAGAACCGAGCCGGATATCCAATGAGAAGGTGTCATCTCATCTCTGTTCACGTTTGCTCGAACAAACAACGATTTCAGTGGTTGCTCTGTTTCATGCATGTAAAACCAAAGAAGCTGAGAAGGATGCTGCGTATTTATATGTTCTTCATGCTTGTACAGAACACAGGAAGTGGATTTTGTATCTGCGTGTTCTTTTGCCTGCTGAATTTTCCACTTTGCGAGGCTGTAAAAAGTGTAAACGATTCGCCTTTTTAGACAGAAGTTGATGAATTAAAATACATTTGCAGGAACTGACTTTGTCTTTAATGCTGCAAACACACCAGAAGATGGATCTGTTGACGTGTCAGCTCGGTAACTGGCCCGTTAAGGACGTCTTGTTGGAGTTAGGGACGAAACACGAGCTCCATCTGCAGATGAAGACCATGTGATGTGGTTGAAAGCGTAGAAAACTAGTTGAGTTGGAATTATTTAAAACTACAACTCTCCACTTTGTTTGACTTGTGACCTGCGACACCTGAACAAAGCCCACAAGCTGATGAAGACCATGATTTGAGGCTGAAAGATCCAGAAACCAGCCCGATTACGACTTCCAACACACAAAGAAGCTTCAGTATGAATGAGGAAAATGAATTTTGCAGTTTTTATTTTTGTATTTCTGCCCTGTTTGTATATGAATCGTACAGCAGTCTCCTCGAGAAGACGAGCTCATCCACGGCCTGCAGCTCGTGTCATTAACTGAAGTAGATCCCAGCTGTTGCTGACAAACACTAAGAACGATAAACGTACGCTAAAGATTGCCTGTAACTACGATCGTGTCCTTATAATCAGTATAAATGCACATGATGAGCTCAGAGCCAAAGAAACGAGCTCATCTCATCATCATGAGGCTACGAGTGCAACAAGCAGAAACCATGAAGACTCGTCAGGACCTGAGCTCTACTGTGATCTCACCTTGACTCTCACACCAGAGCAGAGACTAATGTTCTGTGTTGGTCGGGTCGGGTCTGCAGCTACAACCCAGAGACCAAACAACAAAGTGGAAGAAGCACAATGACCAAGACTGATGGTTGATTTATTGACATGTATGTGGCTCGATCTGATGATCAGTGCAGATTTCTGTGGGTTTGTTGGGCCACAACAACACAATCGCTGCCCTCCAGGTGACCTGTTCAGCTCCTTGGGACTTCTTCATCTTCCACAAAATCAAACATCAGCTCAAACGCTGCTATCTGGACGGTTTGTTAGATAAGAAATGGTGCTCCACGTGCCTACATGAGGAGACTTCAGGGGAGCGTTCAAGACATGATGGAGGAGTTAGGACACTAAGAAGACAAATTTAAACCAGGTAGAGTTTTTTATTTAATTTAAAAGGCAGTGTTTTGGAACTTTTTGATCACACCTTGTGCGTTAGCGTCATCGTGGGACGGCTGCTGAGGCCATCATAAGGTCGCATCTAACGTGAGTTCAGTAGATTCAGAGCTACGGTACCAGTTCTACCCTGAAAACCCGACTTTCTTTATCTCTGAAAAAGAAACCAAACCCCCAACGCGTCTTCAAAGCACAGCCTCTGTCCTTTGAATGTCGTCTAGGCAGCTCCCGGCCGCTGCTGTTTCTCCGTTAATTTATTTTTTCAGCTTTTGTGAAAAACAGCTAAATCGTAACAGACGGGAATTATTATTAAACGTGATTTATGTAGAACTCGAGCTTACTTGGAGTTTTAAGAGGCTTACGCAGCGCTCGCCTCGATACGTGTTTATTTTGTTCCAGAGTCACATTTCTCATATCTACATATAAAACAGAGGAGCAGAGTCGAACCTGCTGGATGAGTCTAAACGTACAATTAAAAGGGGAACAGCAGAGTCACATTGTTCTGATTCAGTTCAAAGCGACACTGATGTGCTTCAATCAAACTTCTTTGTTGCCGGCGTCAAGTCTCTGTGTTGAACGTCCAGCTGTGTCGGTCGCTGATCGTGTAGCAGCTCCAGCGTTTTGTCTCGTGGCTGTTTAGTTTATTGGATTATTAAAAGCAGTGCTTGAACCAAACCTCCAGGTGTCAGTGTGCCGCTCACCTGCTGGTGGAATGTAGTGATGATGGTACGAGTCCAGCGGCAGCCTCCCTAAATGCATCGACTCTGAATCTCACAGTTTGGCACGTACATGAACTCAGACTATTCTCCGACACGTCTGGGTGTCGGACTCTGTCTTTACAGAAATAGTGATTACATTCAGCCATTAGTCATGATTACTCCTCCTTGCATGTGACTGCCCTGTGTCCGTTCACTTGCCCCTTCGCCTTCGTTCTGTCGCCGTCTAACTTTCCCTCTGCCTGGAGTTTCCGGATCAGATCGTGGGGGCCCTTCCCCACCAGGGCCGACGGGTGCCTGTAGGAGCCCCCCAGCCGGTCCCACAGGGTGAAGTACTGGCCGTAGTTGTAGTCGAAGAAGAGGTGGTGGTCGGTGTGGTGGGCCGAGCCGTTGACGACGCTGGTCAGGGCTCCGGGGACGCGGTAGTCGCCGTCGTGGATGGAGATGGTCCAGATGTTGACGAAAACGTAGAGCGCCAGGTAGAGCACCTTGTGGAGGGGGAAGAGGAAGGGGTAGATGTGGTACGGGAGGCCCTGCATGAAGCCGTCCACCGGGTGGAAGGCGTGGCTGGCGAAGGGAGTCGGGATCTTCCAGATGTGGTGCGGCTTGTGGAACAGCTGTTTGGGACGAGACAGCGAAGACGGCAGTTAACTTTAAAAACAATCTTAAGTACGATGACAATTTATTCGTAGTTCTGTGGGCGGCTGTGGCTCAGGTGGTGGAGCTGTGCTGATCGCAAGGTGGGCGGTTCGATCCCCGACATGTCGAGGTGTGTTTGGGCGAGACACTGAACCCGAAGCATGTGTGCATGTGTGAATGGATGAATGAGGAACACATTAAAACACACTTTAACTACCAATAAGGCAGAAAGGTGCAGATCACAGCTCAGACTCCAGTCCATGCACACAAAATCTGATATTAGAACTCCTTATTTTACTCTTTTCCTGCAGCTGCCTGGCTAGCATGTAGCTTAGCCTGCATGTGAGGCGTTCAGGGAACATCAGTAAATTGTAGTGTCTGTTGATAAGGAGAGGATTTCATGTGCAGATGCAGTTTACGATCGTCTCTCCTTCTGTTCCTGAGTTAAATAACGGTCAGAAAAGTGGTTTTGCAGAACACTTTGACGTCACAGTGAAGCTGATCTTGGACCTCTTGAATAAAAAGTGTCATAACTTCATCGTTTTATCCTGATAGACGTGTATGCTCATTGTATTTGGACCAAATACATGTTTTATGAGGTTCAACTTCAACCATCAAAAAACCCCAAAAACGAATCAATTCATCAACAAGAAACAAATTAAACAGGGTTAAATTAGACCGATAATGAATGATCTGTCCTACTTTCATGATAATTAATATGATTTTAAACTAATATTTAATGTTTAATGCATTAATATAAAATACAGAGAATGACCCGTATTTGCTTTTGCGCTGCCGTAACAACAAACAACAACAGATGCTTCTCTGTTTGACTGAATAATGATGTTTTATGGTCATTTCTGCTTCTGTTCATCAGTTCAGGGTTACTGCTTCAAAACATGACCACACATGGACTCTGATCAGGTCAGAAAGAAAGATTTAGCAGTAATCTTTAGACAAACAGTAGCGTGGTCTGAAGGACACCAGACAGGAAGCAGAGGAGAGAGAAGCTGATGCACTGCCTGGGTCGACGTCCTCAGGTGATATTAATTCATTACATTCAGACGTACTGCTGTTTGGGAAATGTTCAGATGTAACAGAGATCCATTAGACTGACAGTCTGTGTGCTGGTGTTCCTTCGTTTCCTTTAAAATGACGGTTGAAGCAAACATCAGGAACCTGGACGCGCTCTTTGACAACAATCTCACACTGACAAGGTCATCCAGCTGTCTGAGGAACAACAGCTGGAATCGACTGGGAGTTTTAATGACTGTCATCAGTGAACCATCATTCCTGCTTTTCTGTCCACGTGGTCGGACTGTTGTAACGGCCCGTTAGCAGGTGCAACAAGGAAATCAATTAATCAACTCCAGATTGTGCAAAATGCAGCAGCGAGTCTAACAAACTCACAGAAAAGAAAACACACCGGCTTTAATGACCCTACACCGGCTGAACCATTTGTTTCTGGATTGATTGTAGAATATTTTTTATGGTCTCAGATTATACATCGGACCGGCCGTCCGTTTACAAACCAGTGCACAGCCGGAAATCCTCAGAAACCTGCTGACGGCATTCACTCTGAAACCACCTGCCTCAGGTACCTCTAAAGCCTCGGACATATAAATCTATATAGAAATGTTTTTTACTTCTGTTCTGTTCTGTTGAGCCACACTGTAGAATATTCCTGATGTTGGAGTCTTGCTCTGTTTTGGGTTTAATCTGTGTTTGTATTTGATCTTTTATGTTTTATTACATGAACTTTTTAATCACTCGTTGCTGTTCGTCTTTATTCCTCTTTTACGCGACTGTGCTTCACTGTGTGTGTGTTCTGCTTGTTGTAAAGCTCTTTGTGATAAACATCCATCCATCCATTATCTATACACCGCTTAATCCTCACGAGGGTCGTGGGGGGGGCTGGAGTCTATCCCAGCTGACTCAGGGTGAAGGCAGGTTCACCTGGACAGGTAACCAGTCTATCACAGGGCTACACTTAGAGACAGACAACCAAGCACACTCACATTCACACCTACGGACAATTTACAATCACCAATTAACCTCAGCATGTTTCTGGACTGTGGGAGGAAGCCGGAGAACCCGGAGAGAACCACCGCTGCACGGGGAGAACATGGAGACTCCACGCAGAAAGATTCCGGTGCCCCCACCGGGACGCGAACCGGCAACCTTCTTGCTGCGAGGCAACAGTGCTACCAACTGCGCCACCTTGCAGCCCTCTGATGAACACTAAAAACTAGAAAAACTTTATTTATTATTATGTCAGACTACGTGATGCAAGAAATCCTACAACCTGGTCACATCATATCTACATGATTAAGTAACAGCAAAAGCAGTGAATGAACTGTTTAAACAAGGAGCAAAAAAATCAGAAGACAATCTACACTGCTGTGCTTTTATTTTGAAAATCAAAAGTCGGTTTTACTTTAAGCAATTCTACTGTGTCACTGCTGATGATTGAGAGTATCTGAATTCCAAAACTAAAACAACAAACCACAGGGCTACTGACCTTATAAATGAGCTTGTGGTGAAGGAAGCGGTGGATCCAGTAGATGCACATGTCAGTGAAGAACAGGAAGGAGATCATGCTGAGGAAAAGCCCCGGCCAACCTGAAAGCACAGAGGTCAGGTCACCAGCGAGAGTCTCAGCTTGACGTCAAATCGATGGCAAAGCAACTGAAAGCGGCAGCAGGAGATGTCCTTCAACCCACCGAGTGGAGAGTCGCCGACGCTGTCGTACAGTTTGCTGTATCCTCGGACTTCAGCGAAGAACAGGGCCACCGTGGGAACGCTGATCCAGGGCAGCGAGGTCATCGCATATTTGATCTCCCGCCGTACCTGATTCTAAGATCATACATTTAAAATTAGAAGAACAATGAATTGAAGGAGATAAAATGCAAACACAATCAATGAATCAGACGTCACAGCTCAGTGAGGCAGCTGTCTGGACTTTGCACTCAGCATTATGATTATAAGTTGTTATGTAAATGGTTTGATTCATCTGTTGGTTGTTATAAAGACAAAATCTAAAACCTTTAATCAACACTCGCTGTGAAAGGTTGACTGAGTATCAGATACTTGCCTGAGGATATAATTTAATTGTGTTACTGTCAATAAACTCTATGAAAAGACCAGAACCAGCAACAAGCTGCTCCCACTAACAAGATGTCTGTCATCCTTAAATAATGTATAAAGACAGATACAGATGTTGACTGTACCACAATATTTTATGGTATTTTGCAGTAATTATAGAAACAATATAAAATATTTGCATTCAGCAGAATCTTTTTGTCACTCGAGCAGACTGTGTTGAGATCCAAAAAAATACAAAAATAAATGTGTCCACAAACAAATCGGCACAAAGTTCGACTGATTGCGTAAGCTTTAGCGGCGCCGACACACCGTTTATAACGACACAAATCATAAGAAGAGATACAGGCTGTATACCTCTAAGAAGTGCGGGTGTTTCATCAGATTGTGGTCAAAGATAAAGAAGTAGCTGATGGCTCCCAGGCCCAGGTACAGCACCGCCGCCCCGAGGTTGGTCAGCACCAGCAGGCTGATGATCTGCCGCAGGGCTCCGTCCTCGGGCCACGACGAAGGGTACACATGGGGAGTGAGGACGTAGTAGTCGGCAACGTTCAGAACAAGGTCCATGTTGAATCTGAGAGGGGCAGAATAAAGAGGAAACCTGAAGCAAAGTACTGTTTTATTTTAAAAGCTCTCTGGTGACGTCACCGTTTTTAATATTACGATCAGCAGACGCTGAGACAAACTGCTCTGAAGTACAGAAATAAAATCTAAATATTAGGATTAAGGGCCTACTATAAAGTCAGAATGTAAATCTGCCTGGCTAACTTCACTACTAAGGTTGAGACAAGGGTGGACAGAATAATTAGAATATTATCAGAATCACAGGAGGAATAAAATGTGTCACAGCAACACATCAGTATAAAAAAAATAAACCACATAATCTTAATCATATATGTCTCAGTGGGAGTAAAAGCAAAAATGACCGTCCTCGTTCATGTCGTGACTCATGTCGGGATACTTGCCAATATAATAGCAGTATTATTATTGCTTTATTTATTTTTATTTTTTGGCATATTGTTCAGCCCTAGTTTAGACCCTACAATGTTATTTACTGTAAAAAAAAAATACCTGACGAACTTAAATAATAAGGATAGGACTCTATAATATTATTTATTTTACAAATACCACCGGACTAACCTAAATAAAGCAAGTTTTATCTGACTAATGTAGATATTAAGGTTAATATCCTACAATATTATCTATAATACGAATTACCGGACTAACTTAAATATTAAGGTAGAGATCCTACAATATTATTTATTAAAGAAATTCACCCGTATAGCTTAAATATTACCATTAAAGGCCCTACGATGTGATTAATTTTAAAATGTATCTGACAAATTTAAACATCTATGTTAAGACTACACTATTTATTACAAAAACTGACCTGAAAATGCAAATATTAAGGTTAAGACCCTACACTGATATTTATTATGGAAATGTACCTGATTTAAATATTAAGATTAGATATCAAACAAATTCACCTGAAAATGTGAGATTAGATCCAACAAGAACAGCAATTAGATCATTTATGGATTATTTAACACTGTGAATATTACTTTTTTAGTGTTTTTGCCATGAAAAGCAGGTCGGGTTTGCTGTATTTATGTCAAATTACCTCTGAACTGATAAATATCACAAACGTGTCCGTTAATAAAAACCAAACTGAACTATTCCAGGTGTCACACTTACATAACTGAGTATCTGACCGCTACAAGCCAAAACCGTGTGAACAGGTGAATATTATCCCGCATTTACAGGCAGAATAATTTCAGAAAACAGACGAGCTGCGTAATTTTACTGTTAATATAAAGCCATATTTATAACTTTAAGCAGGACTTTACCTTTTCTGCTGCTTCGACCCCGGAACAGCAGCGCAGAGATGTGTACCAAACTAAAGGCAGTCCAACGACCAATCAGCGCCGGCTTCCGTATACGTCACGTACAGGCCAGCCAATGAGGGAAGAGCTTCCCATCACGGCAGGTTTGCGATGGTTTCCGATTGGCCAATTGGAGAATCTGCTCATGGCGTTACCATAACAGCACGACTGCGCTTAAAGGTGCTGCAGCAGCTGGATGAGCAGGAAGGGAAACATCTGAGGATGTCTTTTACTCCTTTAACATGTTGTCTTGTTTTTGTGTGTGTGTGTTGTTTTCAGCTACAGCTCAGATGTGTGTCACTTGTGCAGAAACCACAACACCAAACCTCCTTTTTTAACTTACAAATTTAGAACCATCAGCTTTTTATCGAGCCACTTTGCTGAAAATTAACTCACAGATCACTCTAAACACTAAAACCCTGCAGGTTTCAGCACGTTTGGTTGTTTTTACTCGTCGTAGCAGCACTTCCATGATTAGTTTTGCATTACGGCACGTTTCTGTGTGCAAGGTGAAAAACAATACTTACATTATGACATGTCCAAACTGCTCCAAAGAAGATGCATGAACTAAAGAAGTTAAAACTAAGTCATGGCAGGTGTGTATTTTAATAAAATACCCAGCTGAGATTATTTTGCAAGATGCATGAATTAAGTTTGGCCTGCTGAGCTGAACACTTGATAAGACTTTGACTCAACCTGGATTTAAAATTGCAATAATTTCCTACTTCTGAATAATCTGGCTGCAATAACAATATAAGTATAACTGTGCAAACTTCATAGACCCATTGCTTGAGCGTGACTTTGGGCCTTGTAGGATTCTTGGTCACTTCTATAATCTTGGGTAAAGACTTCATCCATCCATCATCTCTACACCTTAATCCTCACTACGGGGGCTGGAGTCTATCCCAGCTGACTCAGGGTGAAGGCAGGTTCACCTGGACAGGTAACCAGTCTATCACAGGGCTACACTTAGAGACAGACAACCAAGCACACTCACATTCACACAATTTAGAATCACCAATTAACCTCAGCATGTGTTTGGACTGTGGGTGGAAGCTGGAGAACCCGGAGAGAACCCACGCTGCACGGGGAGAACATGGAGACTTCACACAGAAAGACCCCCACCGGGACGCGAACCGGCGACCTTCTTGCTGCGAGGCAACAGTGCTAACAGTGATCATTTAGAATCACCAATTAACCTCAACATGTTTCTGGACTGTAAAGACTTCAAAAAAAAAAAAACTAAATGAAAACAGTTTGATGTTAGTGGTAGAGGTTTGTTTTCCCTCTGCCGTGAAGCCGACACCTGTCCAACCACTAGATGTCACCGGTGCTCTAAGCTAAAGTGAAAGCAGCCTCAGCCATGAGGCACTGCAGGAATGTACAGGAATACTAGAGCAATGCCTCCTGGGATCAGAGTAACTACAGACACAGAAATACAAACGCAACATGCAAATGGTCGTCTGATCTGATTAAAAAAATAAAAATATCTAATTTACACTGACCCAGTTAGAAAATGGTTAAATGTAAGTCACAAGTCGAGTGACACTCAGTTGATCCACACCTTAAAGGACAATAATCAGACAGACAAACACCCACTGAACAAATTAGACGTACCGACATCATTCGACTCCTCCAGATTAACAGTCTGTAGCTGCAGCTTCATTTCACAATCAGAATCTCTCTTTGTCGGTTTTCATATAAGAAATGTATGATGGTGACAAGTGAAGGTTTTTAAAGAAAAGATTTAAGAAGAAAGCAGGTGCTGCAAGTCAATAAACACAAAGAAGAATGAGACGTTACAAGCCAAATAAACAGAGAGTGCAGCAAAACCAAAGACGTTTAAGTCATAAAAAGTAATAGAAATGTTTACAGCATGCTTGAGATTGTGCATTTTAAAGAAAGTAGTCTTGAACTTTCCAGCTATAAGCATGTGTTTTATCAAACTGCATCATGTAAAGCTTTCATTTCATTTTGTTCGTTAGGATTCTTTCCTTTTCTTTGCTCTGTGATCCTACGTGAGGACGACAGCGGCTGAGATGCAGCAGAAAAAAAGACGTACAGTTTTTCCAAAATGAGAAAACCAGTTTGAGGCAACAACACGTGATTTCAAGTTGATGGAACGCGATAAAGTAAACTGCCATCACTAAAGCAGACAGATTCATTTTAAACAGCGCTTCAACTACATTTTACCGGCGACTATAAAAGGCCTCTATAAAAATGCAAGCTTGTCCAAATGACGCGATGCTGCGGGCGACGAGACGAGAGCCGGCTGTCGCTACGCTGGATGCTGCACGTTCGTCCACAACTTGACCGTTTGTCATCTCAGGAATCACGTCAGACGTCAACGCGTCGCTCCGGATGGACGAGTCCGCCGACTTCTCGGAGCCCTTCAAGAAGAGGTGAGCACCGTTTCACGAGCAGCATCAACAACCTCATTAACTGGGCGCGTGGCAGATGTGTGACTTGTTACCGACTTGTAATTCCTGGTCCATGACCCCACGTTCCATCTGCCTGTTATCATTTCCAGTATACTTGTTGTTTTGTGACGCCCGCTCTGTCGCACTGAAACAACAAATACTTATTCCTAAAACAAAGGTTAGACTTTAATTAAATCCAACATGCTGCTGTTTTAACTCTGTATTGGAACCTTGATGAAATATGATAAGACACAGCAGAGAAAAAGCTCACACAAGACATTTCATTAGAAATCTGAGCTCAGGTCCAAAATAAGGTTCGTCATTTGTTTCGTAGCTTGATTTTCCTCCTAATTAGGAGAATATACTCACTGTTTTGTTCAGCGTCTGTCGTCTATATCTACATTTCACTGTGACGCTAACAGAAATCATCTGGCGTTTTTTTTCTCTGTCCTGTTGTTTTTCTCTCATTTAGTTTTTTATTTATAGTTTTATTTATTTCTGATGACTTTTCATTGGGTTTATTTCACCAGCAGCGACGGTCAGCTGTGATTTAATGACCATTATGATCGCTGTGAAGTTTGATAAACAAGACAGATACGGCCTCGGCGCTCGGCCCGAGGAAGGAGACTGTGTTTATTTGACTGGGAGTCTCTCTGCTTTAGAGGAACGTTGGTGTGTTTTGAAGAGAGCACGAGCTGCCTCACAGGCGTCCCCCTCTGTGTGCAGACAAACATGAACCAATCAGGATATCTGCAGAGGCAACCCTCACGCTGAGCCCCAGATAACCTGCTGCTCATCATCTCCTCAGTAGGCGACAACAGTGGATGTGTCACTTTAGGAATCAAGAAGAGGAGAATCTCGTCACGGCAAAGGCGCAGTTTTTTTTTTCTTTTTTAAAAGCCAGATTTGATTATCTTGCCACTGAGTTGATGCAATCTTTCCGATTCAGACTCCACAGAAATCATCCTTTAGTTTTACTCAGACAGATGAATTAAGCTCTTCTCCAGCTGCCGCCACCTTCGCGTCGGTGCTGTTATGTATGCAAACCCGGGCGCTGCCGAGCGCAAACCGCCCGACGTGGACATATTTCATGAGGACACATTAGAGCCGATCAGCAACACCACAGATCCTGGATAAAAGACACGTCGCATCACTCACAGTTCGCTGCTAAAAAAATAGGAGGACCTGCCAGCAAACACTTGTAAATGAGATGGCACGTACATAATCCCGCGTTCATTGACAAAATTGAGCAGGATCTTGTACATCCTCGTCAAAAGATTAGTTGGATCAGACCATCCTGCGCATAAAGCCGCCGAACAGCCACGAGAACCACTTCACCTCCTCTTTGGATTCGGTTACCGCGGGCCACAGCTGCTTATGTTTAGTCATCTGCTCATAAATAACACGCTCTCATAACATCTCATGAAATTAACTCTGAAATGCAGATTATACTGTATGAATACTGCAAATATAAT